ACCTATATATTGTTAGTTCTCGATGAGCAACGGTCACAAGCAGACGTGCGCCGTTGCTCCGCTAGTTGCCTGAACGCTCGCACCAACCGCAATGCCGACTGCCCTGGCCGCTATTGGTGCCGGTTTGGGGTCAAAAAGAAGCATTTACTTGTGAACAGTGGTGAATCAAGAATATTTTCAATTCGTTATCGTTCACATGTACTTGTGAAACAGTGGTGATCGCATTTATTTGTGAACAAAATGACTAAATTCTCTTGTGAATAGTGGTGTATCAAGACCTATTGCAAATCAATATCGCCCAAATATATTGGTGAATAATTTTTACCAACCACGTCCCGTTCGGAGGACTACTCACCAATCAGCAGAAATAGTAAATAATCAACAAAAAAGTGAAATATCCGTTAACAACAGTACGTACTGATCAGCAACTTTAGAATACAGTGACATAACACAGAACCTTCTGCAACAGCGCCAAGTGTTTTTGCAAGAACATCAACAATTAAAACAACATTTACAACATATAATGCAACAGAACCAACACTTACAATTCCAAGTACAGCAACATCGGCGTGAAAAATATATCATAGCTACCGTGTTAGCAGCTACGGCAACTTACGGCCACGCATCTTCATCGCAGGAAACGGTCTCAATCCTGAGCAGTTCATGGCAAACAGTCCCTCTGCGTCGACAAAAGACGAAATGATGACAACCCCAAAGGACCCTCTAAAAAGATTAACGGTGAAAATGACGCCTTATCATAAAAACCAGGTATGAAAATTTAGAAGCAACCTTGAAATCTGAGAATATCAATGATACGACAACCATAGGCAGCATACAAGACCAAAACGAATATCGAACGTCCCCCCCCCTATTTTAATACCTTGCGTTAGAGTTATATCTGATATGATATGATCAAAGCAATTAAAGAAGTAATTAAAGACGAAGACTTCTCGTATAAACTAATTAAAACCTTCAAGATGAAGCCAAAATAATAATGAACAATGTCGAAATCGTACCTCAAACACCGGATGTTTATCGAAAGTTTGTTTAACATTTGAATCTGAAAAATATTGCTCATTATACATTTCAGTTAAAGCAAGAAAGAGCCTTTCGGGTAGTATTAAAAATGAAAAATGTCACAAGGTAAGACAGATTCATAATATCAAGCATCGGTTAACAAAAACACCTCTGTCAATGTTTTTTTGTGGACTTAGAACCTCAAAGTATCAACAAAAAATATGACATCGTATATTTACTATATGCAAAAGTAAATTTTGTACCACCGCGCAAAAAAGTGAAATAATACAATGGAAGCGATGTCAGTCCTACGAGCAGAGTTTTCGTTACTGCACGCTTCCGTATAGCTGTGTCAAATGTGGAAAGAATCACGAACGTCGGACCTACACTAAAACGATAGACACACCAACGACATGTGCTCTTTGTAATCGTGACCATCTAGCAAATTATAAAGGCTCCGTCTATCATAAACTTCGTAACGTCAAGTATCCTAGTCAGTCAGTACTGTAGAAATTCTACGCAAAACAAAACTGAAGGTAGCTATTCAAGTTCACCAACGAGTAATCAAACTATAGGAACGGGTAGACAGCTCACACATGCACAAATGGCCCATTATTTGCTAATCAATAATCAAAATGTATTGCATGAAATTAATCTAATATCCATAATACAAAAATCACTTTAAAAAATCGAGTCTATCTAACAAAAGCAAGCTGAACAAATCACCAGGATAATTAATATCATGATTGCAGTAATGAAGACTTTATGACTAATTTACTAAGAATTCCCCCTGCAATGCGAACGAAATACTTCAACATCGAGGAGAGTTAGAAGTGTACATACATCAAGAAAATATAGACATACTTCTAGTGTGCGAATCACGTCTTATAGAAAGAAGGTATCCCTAAGAACAAGAAATACAAGAATAGAAATAAACGGAATTCAAATAACTCGGACTACATATTGGCAAAAAGCTAACCTGGAAGAAATATGTTTCAATTAAAGAAAGGAAGCGGAAATGAAATATGGACAAATGATATGGTTAATAAGAAGAACATTTTCTTTAAGTTTAGAAAACAACCTTTTACTTTACAAAACAATACTCAAACCCATTTGGACTTTGGAATTGAACTCCGGGGAACACCATCACATTCAAATGTAGAAATAATCCAAAGATTTTAATCCAAATGTCTCAGACTATTAAGCAATGCTCCATGGTTTGTATCAAATGCTACTATTTCGTAAAGATCTGAATATCACCACTGTTTAAGAGGATATCACTCTCAAATCTCTCAAATACCAACACAGACTGGAAAATCATATTTAATCATCTGGCCATAAACATCAGCACAATGACAAGAGGACTGAAAAGAGTACATTCTCTTGATATGGACCACAGATATAAATAATTCCTTTTTGTAATAATTGTTATTGTAGATGATACCGTTTTCATTTTTTGTCACAGTTTTTGCAATATTGTATATATTTTTGTTTTGGGGTTATTGATATTTCAATATGTTTTTATTGTCTTTTTCTCTCTCTGTTTTGTACAATTGTTTTAAAAATAATTTTTAGAAACGTCAAGAATTGGATGATTTCTTTACATGTCAATAATGTATGTACAATTGTCTTTGTCGAATGTTCGAGTAGAACAAATTGCAAATAAAGCAGATGTTAAAAATTATATTGTTAGTTCTATTCTCTGACACAAAGTATAACCAAAATCTAAGTTTTTTTAAATTACCAACAAATTTAGGAAATACAGTAGAATCAGCGTTTTCTGTGTTCTTTTCACCGAAGAATTAGTTCACGGCACTCTCTCTGTCCGTCTGCAATCACCTCTAGCGCGCAAACCGTTCAGACTATTTTCTTTAAAATTGATATTCCATGATCGACATGACCGAACTAAAGACCGTGCGAGTTTGAAACGGATACTTTGTCTTCGGGAAGTACTTTACATCAATCACCATTACCATTTTCAAACATTTTTCAAATAGGGCTCCAAATGTGTTGATTAAAAGTGCGCTTAAAAGGGCACATGTATGATTTTCGTTTATTTTATTAAATTTAGGATGTTTCCCAAGTTCAATTTTTTATCGGCGACTTTCTATAAATCCAATATTGACAATATGGATTTTTTTAATAAAATACATTCTTCAAATACAGATCTTGAGTAGTTATCGTGTAATTTTGTGTAAAATGTTGGCAAATTTTAAACAATTATTTTCTTAAAAATGGCTTCTAATTTTTTTTTATTTTTACTTTGGATACAGCATTATTCTTTAAAATAGCGCTGGCGCCATTTTGAGTTAACTCTACACTTTCGACAATAGCAAAAAAATTACTTTGCAAAACTATAATATTGATATATTTTGTTACCGTCCATCATTGCTAGAGGTGATCGCTTATTACAGATCAGTGTACAAAATGTGATCCAGAGCCCGGTATTAAAAGAGGAAATATTTACAAGTCTCCTACCGGAAAATAAATTGATCCCCTGAAAACGTAGCCGTTTAATGTGGTGACCGCTCAGTAGAGATGGCTATTTAAGCGGGTTTTTCTCTAAACGAAAAACAATTCATTCCGTGAAGAATGATGATTCTTTTTCATCAAAAAGAAACTTCAGCATAGCTGTTGAATATACTATAAAGAAACCGGTTGATTTTGCAACAAGAACCTTGATTGATTGATGATTCAGGTCGTGTCATATGCTTAGGTCATTGGTTCCATAAGTGTAGAGCATGTTTTTTCTCCGGAGGGGTGGTGATTTTCTGCCGGTGGATGGTGAGATCCGGCGCCGACCTACCTGTCGGTTAGCGATGTTTGCCTCTACCAGGTATCTCCCACCTGCGGAGCACCGCCAAAGCCGGGACAAGCTCTAAGCTCCCACCCGGTCTCCCGGCATGTGTGGTAGCTGCATGTAACTGAAAGTGTGTGTAAGTAAAGGATGAGAACAAGAAAGGGCAAGGAAAGGTCACGCGCGGTCCGTGGCCATTTTTTCAGGATATTGCTCCGGTCTTCGCCGAGTATTCGTCCGACAATCCATGGAAAAACTAGCGGCAGCTAGAATATTTCTCCACAAGCGACGGAATTTGACAAAGCTATCGAGCTAGAGTCGAAATTCCTTCAGACTGTATTCCGACATATGGTTCCAAAGGATATAATCGAATAAAGGGGGAGGGGGGAGTGCCCCAAACCAAATCGATAACAGCGATACTCATATGAAAGAGAATAAAAATTGTTGTAGGGTCTCAAAAAATCAGCCTCCTAGGGCAGTCTGTGGTAGAGATACAGTGAGAAACGTGTATATAATGATTTATTTTTTACTCAGATTCTATTGTGTGAATCATGCTAAGAATTCCAGAGCCGGAGAAAAAATAAATTCAAATAGATTTCAAATTGGCTTTCGACGTCATAACGTTGAAGTGCTGTCTCAGTCTTTCTCCTAGAATGTGTCACATAAGTCTATAACATATATTTGTTTAAGATTTTTAAAACATGTAGACGAGAGTGAAAAATAATTAAAACCAATTTTATCAGTTTAAAAAATTGAAATTTGCCCCAAAATGGGATTGAAAAAAAAATTCACTAGTGTTCAAACAATTTATAATTAAATTATTGAAAAGACTCACCAAGATGATTTACAACATTTGCTGAAAAATATTTGTTTTTATGTAGAATGTATTTTTATTATAGAAATAAAATCATCAAACCCTTTTTGTTTTATATTTACGCATTGTTTGTAATATAAACCAAATTATTTAGTTTTAGGTAAATTAATCATACATCTTTATTGCTTAAATCAATTGTATTCTTTGAGCAATGTGTAGTAAACATTGCAATTATTACTAATATGGACTGAACATCTGCTCAGAACATGTATCTTTATTTTTTTCCAACATCACAGTTTAAATTTTATTATTGATGTTACAACTGTAATTATTCATTTGCCAGAATACTATACAACAATTTTTTTTCTACAGGGTTTCAACGATGTCAGTTTTCATGGCTCCAACCAAATACCAACTCCAAATATTGATGCACTGGCTTACAGTGGTATAATACTCAACCGCCACTATGTCCAGCCCGTCTGCACGCCCACTAGAGCTGCTCTCATGACTGCGAAGTACCCAATTAGAATGGGTAAGATTATATTGATTATTATTGCCTTAATTTTAACTCGTTTTTCAGACTTTGGAATCAAATTGTTAAATTGGTATTTTAAAGGACTGAATGTAATTATTTTAAATTATTTTAGCCATAATATTTTATACAATAACTCATATTACCAACTTTGAGTTAACGTCAAGAATTACAAAATAATACTCTAAGCCGTCTGTGCCGTTTTTTCTTCGTGAGTTGCGTACGTGAATTTCGAAAGATTGCGAAACCGAGCGTTATACAACATTTCTTTACTTGAACACAATCTGAACTCTTGCCAATAGGATAAAAAGTATTCAGGAAAAACTTTTATTATGTAGAATATGCATAAGAAGTAAATCATAGCAATTATTGACGAAGATTTGTAGAAAATAACTACGTGATATTAAGTGAATATAATGATGATTACACTGCTGAGTAGAGAATTGATGTAATGTTTTTATACAGTGACTTTTCTTTTATTTCCCATTACCTAATATTAATTTTTTTCACATTGAGAAACAGTGTTGAATAATCCTTTGATAATGTAGCTCATTCTTTTTGTGAAAATATATATAAAAAGGTATATCATCATCATCTTAATCTTTCACGTGCATTACCTTGCATTAGACTGTTTCGAAATGTTACGTGCATGTCTATATTGTCTATTAATTGTTTTATTTAGGCTTGTTTTGAAAAACTATATGCAGTAAGGAACTTGTCGCCAGAAGAGGATCGGATCACGAACTAAAATATTATTTTCAATAGGAAATCCTATTAAATTTCGCTCGGAGGCGTCTTCTAGAATTCTGACCCTTTTGAACGCCAAAAATGTATATCACGGGAATAATTGATTAGGGGGTTTAGCGCATTTGTAAGGCCTTGACTTCATGCATTACGAGTCACAGTACTGACGTTAGGTAGACAACGAAGAACCTTACCTTATGAGGTACGTCTTTACGCTTTATTTAATGGTGCTGATTTCCTTAGAGCAGGCATGACAAGAATGCGTGCATGGTAACTAATTTACTAGAGTTTGCGGGTATAGCATTCAGAGTATCTGGGGAAAGATTTAAAACTAAGAGTGTTAGTACAAATAAGTCCAGGGTTGCAAAACGTTACTGGTTACCTGCCTGGTCTTTTGGGGAAGTCAGTTAGCAGTCTCCAAATTAGCTATATTAATTCCCATTTCCTCTACTTAAAGAAAAAAAATGATCTATTAAAACGTAATTACGAACCACACAGATTTCAAACGGTCAATTAGGAATAAATTTTGAATCGAAAGTATATTGATTTTTGTGTTTACATAAGAGGGCAATAATTGCATTGATTTCCTACGTTCAGATTAAGAGGTTTAACAGTACATGATTCTTGTTTATTAAGAACGGTCCGCCCGTAAGAAAGAAATGTTGCCGTATAGAAACTTGTTTATTTTTTTACATTATTGCTATGTAGTTCAACAAATAATTAAAATATATAATACAACATAATACAAGACGAAAACAAGGAAAGAATTTTTCATTGACCGATTCAACAGACTCCTACCCCTCGGCATAATTTTTTTACAAGGCAGAATTTAAAAATAAAATATATGTGAAACAGTAAAAAATATAACAATGATTTAAATCTCCGTTACTAGGTAGATCAAATTTGGCAAACATATTTTCGGTCTTGCAACTATTCTTCGTCTGGCATCACTTCAGCTTGCGTTTGCGCAACCCTTTCAGGATTTGGAGGGGAAATGGGAGCAGTCAGGGGCAGTTGCCAGTAGACGTTGCCCGGTGCTCGTAGGAGCGCTGGGCTTCTCAGGCAGGGAAGTAGCTCGTGAGGGTGCAGTTTGGCCCGCCTGCCTTAGACGAATCGGTTCAAAATCGTTGCCGTGTTGAGTAAGTTGTGGCGTGAATGCGTAGAATATTGTGCTAATGAGCATGGATACAGAAGCAACGGTCCAATCTAAAAATGAACTGGAGCGAAGCTAACGCTGTAGCTCACTGGCAAAAGTCGTGCAAATCCGTCTCTAAAATGCCAAATAAATACATCCATCCATCCATAATGATAAGAACACAATTTCCGTCTTGTCAAGAATAGAAATGCGATTCTCGAGGAGGACGTTTAGAGATTCTCGAGCGTAAATCCCAATATAGTTCCAATATTAACAAATCCCAATACATACAAATCCCCGGACTTCATTCCAATATGTAATAGAATAATTGTTTCTGAAATAATAAGAAAGTTATCTTGTTAAAAATAATGTGAAAAAATGCAATCATACAGATCATCAACCAGAAGATTTTCCGAAAGCACACTTTTTATGAATTAAGAAAATAAAATTAAAAAACACATGTTTTCTCAATAGTGATTTAGATAATTGATATTCTGAGCAGGATCTTATTGTGGCTCTAGGGCTTGTGGAAGCATGTTCATGTAATCACAAAAAGAAGATGAGCTCAACATTACGCGAGGGGGCGTATTACGTTCGAATTACGCAAAATCCAAGTCTCGGTATCAATTACAAACGAACGCTACAGCATTTCGAAATGATCCATGAGACCACAAGATATGTATCAGTATGTGAGGGTTGCAGGGAATGTAGTTTTAAAAAATTCCAGAGCTTTGACAGCAGATAGATAATTCAGTTCGAATTCGTGTGTTGCATTCAAGAGTGAAAATTATTATTAAGTTAATGTTTTCAGAATATTTAATGGTACGAATTGATTGCGGGATGTGTGAGTAATGTAATTGTGGATATAATTGAACCCAGTCATGCAATTCATAGGATTAATCGGGCGGGGAAAAAGAGCGATATTCTTTTACCTAGTGATACCCAGTTATAGTAAGGAAAACGGGAAGTAATTACACGCTGGTTGATCTGAATCACTTTCATTACAGGCTAACTTGGCTTTCACATGAGTACAAGATATAAAAAGTTTCTTCTTTCGCACTGCAACACAATGTTTATATCGCTTAAGAAGTCTATAGAAGATCGATACATTACTGTAAGTGGACAGATAATAACCGCTCTGGAAGCCAATGAATTATACAAATATCTTGGTATACAACAGGTATGTGAAATATCATATAACAAGATGAAGGGAACGCCAAAAAACTGATATTATGAGCTGACTCAGAGAAGTTTTAAGAATGTGTGGGCGAGATCATGAAAGCATCCAGCATATCATCTCGGGTTGCAGTGCAATAACCCCAACAGACTACAGAACGAAGACTACAAAACGAGAATGGATCAAGTAAGCCGGTTCATCCATGCCAAGTTCGCTAATAAATTCAGACTCCTGCGGGATACTGATATCATCCAGAAACGATGCTTTAAAGCGAGTCCCATAAGTTGAACTGGTACCGCAGTATTTTTGAGAGATAGAAGAATCCTGCACTATAGATCCGATGTTACGTTTGGGATAAACCGGCCAGGAAAATTTGCTTTATCCAATTTGCAGTTGTGAATACCAGCAACATGATGACAACATATCAAGCAAAAATCGATAAATACCTATAGCTAGAATATGTATTGCGATAACAGATGCAGGTTACCGACGTCAAAACTGTTCCATTTGTCCTATCAGCAACCTTAGACGATCTAAGTATGGACAAGAGTATTATCATCACTCTTCAGTAAATCATGAGAAGACATGTGAAATTCTGAAGCTTTTAAATTTAGCTATTGTATTGTAATTTTAAGTTTGATATTTTATATTGTTTTATATTAATTATAGATCGTTGTAAAGGTGAAACAAACTAATTGCCATGTTTGATGTTGTATGTGTATGGTAGCTGTATAAGACCAATATTTTGTGTGAAAAAGGAATAATAATAATGATAATAATAAATTTTTTATTAATTGAGAAAATTAAGTTGAAGGGCCTGCTTTTCCGCCTAAATATTTGAATATACACTTATACAAATCAGTAACATCTAGGGTGAGGGGGCAAGCTGTACATTTGCGACTCGGAGTGAAAAATTAGGACCAATTCCGGCATACGCCTTAAGCGATTGAGTAATTCTAGAGAAACTTTAATGAGAACGGCGGCTTAGGGCCGAACATTACCGATAGATAGAAGAGAAAGAGAAGGAAAATATGAGCAGAAAAGAAACATAAATGAAAATGAAATCCTAAGAAGGAAGAAGGGAAATACACTAGGCGGTGGGACAAGCTGTACATATGTGATTGGGAGTGCAAAGCAAGGGACCACCCTTCTTACGGAGCGATTGAATAAATCCAGAAAAACGTCAACCAGGATGACGGCTTAGGGCCAAACAAAATACCTTTTATTGTATGACAAAGTATTCGTTCTAATACTAAAGTAATGTTTATCATTAGAAATACCGGCTGAGATGATTCACGGCAACAAGTGTGGTTTCTGCTGTGACTCAGACCGGGAGGTCCTAGGCTACATGTCGCGACGGTGGTGGCGGATTCTCGACACTAACCAGATATCTCGGCCGAACTTCGACACACTCGAGAGGAGAATTCTAACGCTCATCGACCATGCGAGATCTTTCCTTTCTCATCTATGCCCCTCTCCCACCTTGCTCACACACACTTACCCTTACAGCCACTACTGTACCACACATTTCGGGAGACCAGTCAGGAGCCAAAGCGGGGAGGGGGTGCCCTGCTGGAGGAAAACCCCTGCAAGCAGGAGCATAGCTTGTCATCGGATTTCACGTTCCAGTGAGGGAGGAAAACACCATATCTCCGATATAACATGCATGCTTCTTTATTTATTTTATTTATTTTTTGTTTATTATTTTATTAAAACACTTAAAAATTGTGTGATAAATACTAAAGGTAGAAGTGCATTTAGTGCACGTTTTCAGAAATTGTGGGATCGCTACCCTAACCAATACACTACAAGTTGAATTCTGAATACAGATGAAATGAGCATTTTTGATAAGAATTGATAAGAAAAATTCGCTCCAGTGTAAAGTAGTAGGCTTATGAGTGCAGTTACTGGGCACTTCCATTGACCGTAGTAGTTGACGCGCGCGAACACTCGAAATAATCAATGATCATTCGAATTTAAGTGAAACCAGAATCCGGTAGGTACTGTCCTGCACATCCCGACCGTGAGGGGGCGAAGGATATCATTGGTGTTCTCCGCAGGGCTGCAGGGGACCCCGCTGATCCCCGGCGAGCTGCGCGCCATGCCGCCGGGCAAGATCTTGCCGGAGTACATGCGCGAGCTGGGCTACGCCACGCACGCCGTCGGCAAGTGGCACCTGGGCTTCTACGAGGCCGACATGACTCCCACGTACCGCGGCTTCGACTCGCACGTGGGATACTGGAACGGCCTCATCAGCTACTACGACCACGTCATGGGCATCTCGGTAAGTGGAGGAAACCCCCACGTCTCACCTACCGCTCGTGCTGTTTCTTTTCGTTCTTGCTCGTCTTCTTCTGATGGATCGATAGTTCTACAGATGATAATAGTAATAATAAAATAATAATATTAATTTTAAGAATTTTAATAATAATAATAATAATAATAATAATAATAATGGTATGTTATTGATGTAAATATTTCTTTACAATTTTTTCGTCTCTTTATGTGTATATTGCATGTCTCAGTTATGATCAATTTTACCATACTCCATTCGTAGCTATTACAACAAGAATTATGTAAACATTTAAAGATTCGTCAAAATCCAGAGGAAAATTAGTTTCATCGTTCAATAAATTTAGCATAACAGTGTACACTGCTTGTATTACGAAGGGAAAATTCCAAATACAAATATTATTAAGAAAAATCACCAGACAGAAACACATTACAGAACATTAAAGATGGAAATGTTCATAAAATTCAGATATGGAAGTATGTAAAATTATAGCGACCACATGTTGCATTTTCCTATTTGTTACTGTAACTCAGGTGGTTACACCCAGTAAACGCTAGGACGGTGCCGTCTCCAACAAAATTCGTCATTGGAAAACTGCAAAACGTGTTAATCTTACATGTCATTGACACGTTTAATTTGTGCATGCCAACAACGCTCGTTTAGAGGACCGTTGCATGCTAGGCAGTGGAAGAGTGAGGGTTCAGGGAGTTCAATTTGTGAGTAGTGTGGTTCGTAGAGCAGAGTCCGTGCCTAGTACCTACATTAAGAACAACGACCTTTTCTTTTAATGTAAATTATTATTCTGTTTCTTGCATGTATATTTAAAAAAAACATTTGTATTCTAGATCTCAATTATATCGTTAGCTGTCAACGTAGAAGCGTTCTTAGAGGCACTTATATCTGGTTAAGTGTAAACCGGTCGTAGACTTCATGCAATAGTTTTCCCACGTTTCAGAAATATTCTGAAAGAACACAATTGTCGCGATTGTCCAGTCACACATGCTGCCTCTTCTAAATCGCATAATCGCTAAATCGATATCGCTAATTCATAATCGCTAAATCGCACCGCCACTGGTGCGTCATAGGCTCGGTAGAGAATCGGGCGTATTTTTTTGACTGCTCATCCAAAACTTTGTTCTTCCTTCCCTTCCTCATTTGCCTTTGGGTTTTCCTTTAATAATTAGTTGAAGGAAGTTGTTTCTACCATATCGCTTTTATGACTAGGGTATTCGCTTGTTTTATGATTACTAATAACTAAGAATACCCTTATCTACTGTAGGAATTCATTAATGATACGTTCCACGTTATGTTTGTTAATCATATATATCTGATAATAATTAACTTCTGAGTTGGAAAACAAAGAGTTTGCTTCTTCATGGTTTGCTGGATGTACAAAATTTTAGTGACATAATATACCGTTTTTGTAACAAAATTTAGGTTTTTCAATATATTCAACTTTGAAAGTATTTTCAGTACAGTTTGCTTCGTAATCAAAATTATAATTATAACTTAGAATAAAATGAAGGTATAATACAAAATTATAATACATTGTAATTACTCGTAAACAAGAAACTGGCGATATTTCGACAGAAAAATTCTTATTGCCTGACTTTGCCGAGTCTATGCTGAAAGTTAGCCCAAACAGTATCAAAGGATTTTCACCAAAAGTGATATTCCACAATCGATTTGAACGAAATTAATGGGCTGGGATTTTGAAAGGGAAATTTTTATTTTTAGAGGTACTTTGCAAGAAGCCTCAAAAACTTTTAAATATTGCTCAAAATGGTTCCAAATTTTTGGATTAAACACTCTCCTTGAACAGCGTAAAGGGCGCATAAAAGAATGTTACAGGGCTCATTTTCGTTGAAATGTGTGAGTTTTTGAAAATTGCAAAAGTTCAAAGTTTTTCGGCGTCCTTCTACTACGACATTATTTAAAATATTTTTTTTCTTAATGTAATATGTTGTTTAAAGATAGATATTCAAATAAGGTCACGCACATTTTTTCGAAAATAAGTTTTGCTTAATTTTGCGTGAATATAGGCGTTTTTTCCTCGAATGAAGCAAAGGACGGTGAAAATGGTGCTGGTCTCATTGCCGGAAAACTGTCTGTATTTTTGAAACTTGAAAAGAAAATATTGCAAAAATACAATATAAATAACAGTTGTTTACGCGTAATTTCTCCTTGAATTTATTGCAATTTATAACATTTTCTCAGAAACGATTGACAATTTTTACAGTAATGTTTTTCCGCGGACAAAGCAAAACATCCATAACAATGGCGCAGGTCTCGTTTTGCTAAACTTTCTGTTTTTCGAAAATTGCATAACTTAGAAATAACGCGAGTAAGTATATGCTTATGTGCATCATTAGTTCTTTTACTTTGCGATCGCGTACGGAGAATAAGTCGTAGCTGCTTTTGTCGGTAGATGTCGCTAGTTGACGGTTTATATCCGCCATGTTTCTGTTCTCGCAGCTGGTAGCGCTGCCAACAGTTTTGTACAGATTTCTTCCTCTGTGTTCGGTTCATATTTATATTCAGGATTACTTGGTCTGTGGCAATAATGCTTCTCTACATACTTTTTGTTAGTCACTAGCGCAATATCCCAATTTACATTTCTTTATGTAGTCTACTTGGCGGTTTACACTTGTGGTGGTATCGCCTCTTCCTTTAACAGTTTTTTCTTGTCTTGTATTTTTTCCTACTTTCAGCTTTCGTAACTTAAACTATTTGTTTCACTAATCTCTGTAATTGACTTAGTAAGGAATGAGTAAACAAATCATGCTGATTTTGCCGAACATAATATAGTATTTGATTTAAACTATGAGGGAAAGGCAGAGGTGAATTTTTTGTTCATTGACCGATCTTAAAATTTACCAATTCAATGTTCCATGAGCTCTTTCAGGTAGTGAGTGGTTTTACTTTAGGTACCCAGTCTCCTCTGTTCCGGTCGATATGAGGCGTAGAATGTAAGAACATTTATGTGTAAATCAAGGACCGCGCGCGATTTTTTCTTCCCATTCCTTGTCCTATCCACGCCCATTACTTACAGACACACACAATAACATGCACTACACTACAACACATGCCGGAAGACCAGTCGGGAATTTAAAGCTTGTCCCGACTGGCGCGGTGCCCCGCTGGTCAGAGACCCTAGTTGGCGTAATCCCCGCATACCGACGTGTAGGTCGGCGCCGGATCTCGCCTCTTCAGTGAAGGAAGATGACCGCATTTGCGATAAAAAACACGCACTATACTTATGGCCTTAGAAGTTGACGTGTCCGGAAACACTAATCGTTCAAACAATGAACCAATTAAAAGACTTCCCTCTCATGCAGCTGATGTGCGCAGGACTCCCCGACGATGCCGCGCGGCATGTACGGCTACGACATGCGCGCCAACATGACGACGGCGTGGCGGCTGCAGGGGCGCTACGCCACCGACGTGTTCACGGAGCGCGCGGAGCAGGTGGTCGCCGACCACGACCCGCGCCGCCCGCTCTTCCTGTACGTGGCGCACCTGGCGGTGCACGCGGGCAACAACGGCCAGCTGGTGGAAGCCCCGCGGCCCATCGCCGACCGCTTCCGCTTCATCGACGACCCCAACCGCCGCATGTACGCAGGTACGCACAGGCACTCGTCCCTGGAAGCTGCCCATGGCGCTACAACCTGCTTGGCTGACCGGGAGACGCGTCGTCCTGGGCACACACACTATGTGATCAACAGTATTCGGCCACGTGGCTGAAAATGACTTCCCAGTCCGTGGCACCCTCCGTCGGTAATGCTGGAATGTAATAGATTGGTGGCCCACCCTTAGCCTTGATGACAGCCTCCACTCTCGCAGGCATGCTTTCCATCAGATGCTGGAAGATTTCTTGGGGAATGGCAGCACATTCGTTACGGAGTGCTGCACTGAGGAGAGGTATCGATGTACATCGGTGAGGCCTGGCACGAAGTCGGCTTTCCAAAACATCCCAAAGATGTTGGATAGGATTTAAATCCGAACTCTGTGCCAGCCAGTTCATTACAGTGATGTTATCGTCATGTAACCACTCCACTACAGGCCGTGCAGTATGAACAGATGCTCGATCGTGTTGAAATATGCAATCGTTATTCTCCAATTGCTCTTCAACAGTGGGAAGGTATTTAAAACATCAACGTAAGGCTGTGCCGTGATAGTGCCACACAAAACAACAAGAGGTGCAAGCCCCCTTCATGAAAAAAACGATCACGACCATTTTTGAGTGTCCGAATACTTTTGATCACATACTGAACACACGCATTTCATCCTAAGGAAGGTCGCAGCAAGACGGGCGAAATGTTGACAACTCTGCCTAGGCTTGGCGTCTTGCAGAAAGCCAGGTAAATATTTTCTCCGGCCACGGTAGCTACCGCTTTCGCCATGGCCATAGCTTTGCACCTGTAGCTCGAGTAAAGATGATGGCGAATTTTCGCTGCCTAGAGAGCTAGATCGATTTCATCTGCTAACGGGAAACTAATTAGAGACCAACTAAACTGAAACTAACTAGAGACTGGCTGCTCTAAACATTGGTTTTCCGTGGTTTCTCCGAGCAATATTATGTAAATTGCGGAGCAGTACCCTAATAAACGGGCCACAGACCGCGCGCGATCTTTCATTCCTCATTGTTCTCCGCGCCTTTACCCTTACACACTCACACACGCGCGCGAGCGCAATTCCATGCACTACACTACCATACATCGCAGAACACCAATCTGAAGATTAGAGCCTGTCCCTGCCGGGGGAATATAACTGGCGGAGAAACCCCGAAGGGGAAACCCCCGTTGGCCGACGTTTTCATGTTTTATGAGTCCAGCGAGAAGAAGGTGACTGACGAAGGGGTTGAGGCAATGCCTTCCGGATAAGAGTTTATAGCAAGGGGCTGAATTAATTACGGAAACAGTAGACTGGGCTCTTCTGGTACGTTATTAGTAACTCATTCACTAGGTTTAGTGCTACATACATTCGTCATTATTTGAATCCCATAATCCATTATTTGATTTCAATAACTTCAATGAAAATAGTCACAATAACCAGACATTTTTTCTGATGATTTAATAAAATCAGTTTTTTATACCAGCAACCAACAACTTGAAACCATTTTCCATGTAATATTTCATATTAACTCGTTAGCTATAACAGTACATAGTGTTTCACATTTATAAACTTATCAATTTTTCGAAAATTAAATGTGTTGAACGAAAATGAGACGTACGTCATTTTTAACGTGCGTTACACTACAAAAATGAGAAGAAACTAAAGATGAAAATATATTTTTTTAATCCCAAACTTTTGTATGAACATCAAGAAGAAATTATTAAAAAAACTACTCGTTTCAAAAGTTTCATATATAATTTTTTAAAGAGCTTTTTTAAAATCAGATTTAATTTAAAGAAAAAATCTTTATCTTCATTACTGTAATTACGCAATGTTATTTTTTGGCAAACTTTCGAAAAATTCCAGTACGCCGAAAACGAGACCAGTTCCAATTTTCTACTGTCTTTTCATCCCTACGAGAAGAAAGTTAAAATTTGGTGCCGGTTTTGCGAAAAGAATTGCAAAAGAAAAAAATCAGTACCTTCAATGTTGTAGTTGTAGAAAGATGCAATAAATGTAAACTTTTGCAATTTTTGAAAAGTAAGAGATTTCAACAAATATGAGATCTGCGCAATTCATCATTTAAAGCGATCTTTACGCTATGTGAAGAAAACGATTTTATTGAAAAAAATTGAGAAAACTGGGCATATTTGAGAACATTTTGAGAAGGTTTTAGCTGCATTGAAAATACCCCCAAAATGGCACAGTTATTAGATCCATTACTGCTGCTACAATGGCAGGTTATCACGATTTAAGTGAGTTCGAACGTGGTGTTATAGTAGGTGCAAGAGAGATGGAGCATAGCATCTCAGCGATGTCATCGCGATGAAATTTGGATATTACCGTACGACCATTTCACGAGTGTACCGTGGATGTTGGGACGTCGGTAAAACATCAAACATCTGGCATCGCTGCGGTCGTATAAAAATCGTGTAAGAACGGGACCGACGACAACGACTGAGGAGAATAATTACACGTGACAGAGGTGCAATCCTTCCACACATTGCTGCAGATTCAATGCTGGGAAATCACCAAATGTCAGCGTGCGAACCATTCAACGAGACAGAATTGATATTGGGTGAGTCCGAGCTGAAGGCCCACTCCCTTACCCTTGATGACTGCACGACACAAAGATACGCGCCCTTCAATGTCGATATTGGACTGTTGATGACTGGAAACACGTTGCGTGGCCTCACGAGTCGTGTTTCACATTATTTCGAGGGGAAGGACGTGTACGAGTATGGCGACAACCTTATGAATCCAAGGACCCTAAATGTCAACAGGGGACTCTTGAAGCTGGTGGAGACTCTGTAATAGTATGGGGCGTGTGCAGTTGAAGTAGTGTGAAACCTCTAGGTACGTCTAGATACAACTCTGAGAGGTGACACGTATGAAAGCTTCCTGTTTGATCACCTGCACCCATTCATTAGAATTGTGCGTCGCGACGGACTTGGGCAATTTAGCAGATCAATGCGACAGTCCACACATCCAGAGGCTCCAGGAACACTCTTCTGAATTTAAATACTTCCACTGGCCACCAAAATCCCCAGGCATGAACATTGTTGAGAAAATTTAGGATTCCTTGCAACGTGCTGTTCGGAAGGTATCTCTATTCGCTCATACTTTTACGAGTTTGTGGGCAGCCCTACAGGATTAATGGTGTCAATAACTTTTATCACTACTTCGGACATTAGTCGAGTTCATGCCACGTCGTGTACTTCTGCGTGCTCGCGGAGGGCGTCCATGATATTAGGCAGGAGTACCAGTTTTTTTCTCTTTAGTGTATTTATGAATGGGACGGGAAAGGCTTGTGAATGAGAGTGAATCTGATTGTATCGTAAGATTTTGTGAAGGAATGTGGAATAAGAAAAATAAGGTTAAGAATGCGGTTTTATTGGAAAATATGTTCAGACCATTAGGGAGGTTGGTGAGCAAGCAATTAACATCAAGTGAGATTTTTTTATAACTCATGGGAATCAGTACTAGTATTTTAACAAAGTCATACCTATTATGAATATTGTTAAGTGTGTGTGTGTGTGTTACTAGATTTTCGAAAATAAGGAGAAAATGTTGACAAAGAATGTAAAGGGACTACGGATGAAAGAAACTGTATATCTAAGTGGTATGTTTTTTGTGTGTATTTTGGATTAGCATTTAAATTTTGAATTGATGTCATTATCACACTTGAGATTGTTGGAAAATCGATAACATAATGAAGCTTTACTAAGCTAATTTGATACAATTATTACGTTTTCTTGGACATGGAGTAATATGATTACAGCTGATGGTCCGATAGGGTGAAATATCGTCAAGCAAGTTCAGACATTTGAAGGTATAATCAGATTTGTTCATTATGACGGTAGTGTGCATTTTTGTGGAGTCAAATTATTAATTCTTTTAAATTTGCATTGCAGCAATGCTTACAGAACTTGACGAGTCCGTAGGCAAAGTGGTCCAAGCATTAGAACAGAAAAGGATGCTGGAGAACACTCTCATACTCTTCATGTCAGACAACGGTGCACCGACATTTGGAATTTACCAGAATTGGGGATCAAATTATCCTCTCAGAGGAGTAAGTATATTCAATTATAATATATATTCTTAACTTAGCATAAATGTGTAAATACCTTAACTTCATGTAAGTGGTAACTGCATAGCAAACGGAATTAAAAAAATCAGCAAACCGTTTATCTAAAGATAAAACAATATTTCAAGACCTCAAATTTTGTATCCAGTTTCGTTGTAAAACGTATTATTAATTATTTTCTCAAGCATGAGAAATTGCAAACTTTTGTGTAGTAAGCGCCACGCACGTACATGAGCGCGGGATCGCTAATCACTTGAAAGCGCAGTAGGTCCGATTATTGTTTGTGAAATCTAGTATCAAGTGTTGTGAATATATCTCACACCGTACATGAGAAATTTCACTTGCCATTTTACTCTCTTGACATTTTCGGCAGAAAAACTTTTATTACTAGGTCATGATAACGGAAACGTGGATAAATCGTTTGCTATATATAGAAAATGATTTCCTCTAACACATGGCACTCAAACTGTGGCTACAGCCAGAGGCCATATTTTGTGGGTCCTTGATACAGAAAAGTCGAGTGACGGCAACACGTCTGTCTGTCCGTCCATCTGTGGTCAACACTAGCGCCTAAAAAATTCAGTCGATTTTCTCAGATATTGATATTTCCCGATCGATCTCAAAGAACTCGAGGCTTTGTGAGTTTCAACCGGGTATTTAGTTTCTGAGGTTACATGATGCCACAACAAAATTTCAATATTTTCTCAAAAACGGAACCAATTTTTTTATTAAACTTTGTTCTCGAAAAGCGTAAGAGCTTATGAGAATGGAGCAGGTCTAATGTTCGTTGAAATCCCAGATTTTTCGAAAAGAGTACTTTTTTCCGGGCGACTTCCTATAGAAGTAACACTGAAGATAAATATGTTTCCTTAATGAAATCTGTTCCGTAAAGATAGATCTTGAAATAAGGATATATACAATAATTAGAAAATATGAGTAGTTTTCGCGTAATTTTGCACGAAACAGGGAATTTTAATTGTTTTAAAAACCTTTTTTCTCTAAAACAGCACCAATTTTTTTCTTTAAATTTTTTCCTCGTATGTATCAAGGTACAGTAAAAATATGGTGGTAGACCCATGTTGGGCAAATTTTCTGTATTTTCGAAAATTTCAAAAAGTTAACATTTCAAAACTACAAAATTTAATATAGAAATTTCGGTCTTAGAAAATGTCAATTTTCTTAAAAAAACGACTAGTTTTTGCGTATTTTGGGCTTGAAATTAATGCAATTTATAAAAATTATTTTATCAAAAAGCGTTTCAATTTTTTTTATTAATTTTTTTCCACATGCATACCGTGCAATAAAGTGTGTGCTGTTACAGCACCACTAGTTTTCTTTTAAAATCGTCGATTAATGGTGCACGATTACAATACATTGTCTTCTTACGATGTATGGTGAGAAAGAACAATGTCGATCGTTGAAGATAAAACGCATTATGAGAGTCTAAAATTTCATTATTTGCTTGTAGGTAATTATACACTTGCACTATTAACAAGCACATTAAGAACTCGATTCGCCAATTGAAATGTAAACAATTATCAAACAAAATATTTGTTACTTTGTATGTTATTCCTGGGAAAGGTCCGTCGCCGTGGTTAAGGTTCTGAATTCAAAACGTAAGCGCTGAACGTTCTTCATTTACTGTAACTGGATTAGGAAAAAATGTTCAATGGGGAACCTACTTGAAGGACTCTCCTCGTAAGTTACTGCGCTTTACTATGACGTAACTGCGCTCCTGTTGCAGATTAAAGACACTTTCTGGGAAGGTGGTGTGCGCGGAGTTGCTGCCCTGTGGGGTACTATGTTGAGTAAGAGGAACTCCGTCACCACTGAAATGGTCCATGTGACCGACTGGCTGCCCACGTTCTATGCTGCAGCTGGTAAGTTTTCTCAGATTTTCACCTTCGACTGTGGATAGATCTGTTATATTGCGATTTATGCAACTCTGTTCCTGGCAGGTATCAGCTGTTGACGGTTTCATCCAATCGGGAACTGGAACGTCACCATAGTGACGTCACTATCGTGACGTTCAAGCTCCCAATTGGACGAAACTGTTAGCAGCCAGGGGCAGACTTACGAAAATCGCAGTTTAGCCCGCACTTACTTCACACGGTTATGGTTTTATTTGTACTCGTAGCTAACAAGAAATAATATAAGCACTGTATAAGTACTATATAACTCGTTAAAAAGTTTGTGTACAAACACCAAGAGTAATTCGAAAACAGTTTAAAAATACATGAAAACCACAAAAAATGTGAAGTTTTAAAAATGGGAAGTTAGTCAAAATTCAGATTCTTGTACTATAAAATATTATACATCTCTTGTGTAAACGAATATTGTTCTTAAATTGTATATAATAATATTTGCAGCCAATCTTTGCAAGAGGAATAATTTAATTTGGATTTTTGTTATAATTTTATGTACTTTTTATAACTAAGATTGTACTATATATGCTATTAGCTATGTGCTTACTCAATGTTAATAAAATATTTTTTTCTCTTCAAGTGTAAATTACTGTATTTTTGATGCATTTAACTTTGATACCATTATTCTTAACCAGTGCTTGATTTATAAAATTTTAGGTCCCAGGACGCGATAATAATTAGTAACAATCGAAGCACTGCATGTGAATATAAAAACAATAATGATAGGAAATAAAAATATAGTTTAAAATGATATTTTATCGTTTTTCACTAATTTAATACATTCGTAGAAATCATACAATTAAATGGCAAACTATTTAATTTTGAGTTTATGAAAGTCGGTCGAATTAAAAATCGAAAATGCTGTGTTTGTCCACTGTTTTTTGTTGTTTTTTCTTTCCGTTTTTTGCCGCCATTTTGTTCCCGAGGTACCGCACGCCGTTCCGTTGCATTCCGTCAGAAATTAAGTCCTGTTCTTACCATCTCGAAATTTATGAAAGATGAATGAGAGACACGGAATAACTATTTTAGATCTTAGATGAATTTTAACAGGTCTTTAATGATTGCAGGAGGAAAAGAGGAAGATTTGGTTCAGCCCCTTGATGGTGTGAACCAGTGGAACTGGTTGACGGGGAAACAAGACAATTCAGCGCGTAACGAAACACTCATCAACATCGACGAAGTGCAAAATGCATCAGCTATCATTGTAGGCCCCTGGAAACTTGTGCAAGGTATTATCGCCCAAAAACGCATATTTGTTTCATAACAATTCTTCTTCTTCTTTCTTCGCTTCCACAGAAGCCGTTGGCAAAATGGGGGTCGAAGGGGAATAATGAAGATACGAAAATAAATTATGTGCTAGGTGAATACTATGCTCAGTTAAAGTATTTATGTGAAAGTCTGTATGGGGTTGGGAGTCACGCACATACCATGGTGTACCTACAGATATCGGTTGTGTAGATTATAGTTTCAATAATTTTTAATACATAAATTTTCACTAGTGATGTATATTATTACAAGGAATATCAGCAGGACAGATTCCGACCTGGATGGCCTAGGTGGCTAGAGCGTGTGCCCACTCAGCGCTCGGTCAGAAGAGTCGCGAGTTCGAGTTCTGCGAGTGGACATGGTTGTTTGTCTCTTGTCTTTCATGTGTGTGCGTTGTAGCGGAAGGCCTTGTGAGTACGCTGGCCACAGACCGGGAAGCCCGCAAGTGTGGCAGTGTCTAGTGCAAAGGTTAATATGTGTCCCAATGAGGGCCTTAGTGGCTACCCGGCGCGGGTAGTCGGAAAATCGGCATCGCCTGAAGCTCCAAAAAGCCTTTCGGAAGACAAAAAATGTCAGCATAATACATCATTTACAACTTTTACTTGATGTCTTGGATAAAAAACGTTTTAAGCGACTTGGAATGATCATTCCGAACCTTGTCTCACCATCTGATAGGCAGATATCACTTCCGAATACGAACATATAATAAAGTGCAAAAACGAGGCTTCCAGTTGTTCAAAACCTCCAGAAAATATGCGTCAGAACAGTTAGTAAACATCTTTTATAATCATTTGATCAATTTTTTCTGGGATGAAATTTGCGTTATTAGTATCAATTGCAGTTTGTATGTCTCAGAATACCAACACTGAGAAAATATGGTAAAAAACGGCGTGACACATTACAAATCAAGAGTCTCATCAGATTGCCTATTAGCTAAGTTCAGAAACACGGCGCCATGAGTAGCTTTTATCTTATTTTACTTTTGATTTTTCCCATAAATACAACGTGTTGGAGTTACGTTAGAGGCCAATAAGCGAACGTTTTATCTGTATGGTTCATGTTTGACAGCAGTGCTTAAACAGCAGTGCACAAATACCTTAGTCATTTATTAATCTTGATGTGCGAGATAAGCGTATTTATGAACAGATTTTGATAATTCTGTGAAAAGAGCTTGATATCGATTTTTTTTTTCAGAAAAATAGCCTCCATCAGAAAAAATGTTGGTGAACAAAACCACACGAAATGGTACACTAAAATGTAACACGCAAACTGCAGAAGAAAACAAACAAAGTAGTTTCGTACAATACTGCAATTAATAATCATTAATTATTTTAATGAAATATTGCAGTAACGTAGTATAGTATTTACAAACACACAGTACAATAGTTCTATACATGCCAAGAATGTCAAAAAATTTACGGAGCCATAATGGTGCATGTGAATAGGAAATATAACGGGCGGACTCTTTCGTAGGGTCTTGGTCTTAAGCAGCTGCGTCTTAAGCAGTGACGCACAGGGAATGAGAATTCTGTCGCACAATGAGATTACAGGAAACAAACAGTTATTTGTATTTTTCAGTCAAAATCAAAATTGTTTAATAGTTTTTGGATTTTACCAGAGTTCCTGGGTATCCAACAAAATCAAATACACCTCTTATATCCGCAAGCTGCATGGTTTTCTTTCAATTTCTACACGCGTTGGAAATTAGCAATATAGTTGCTGGGCAGGTAGACAACAAATTCTATGTCAGTAGATGAGACAATTGTGAATATTTTTGGGATTGAGTGTTATGCCAAAGCCTACTTTCGACAGCTGAGAACTAACGTTGTGTCATTATTTTATATTTATTTTATTTTTGATTAATACATAGTATTATAGAACATTGTATTATACACTTCGAATAATACAAAAACAATTAACATTATTCAAAAGTAAATTCTCTATTTATTCTAATGTTTTTGGATTGAGCGCCTATAAAATTTACTTACACTTATTTAAAAATGAATGAAAGGGAACATTGAAATTATTATTATTACTATAAGAGTATATACAAGGTGTCCAGGGAGGAAACTTCGAAACTTCGAAAAGTAACCCTTATAACAATTTTAGACATATTTTGTCTAATGAGCTCATTGGATATTCCGAATGGCTGAGCCGCAATAAGCACTTCTCAATGGTTTGAAAAAATAGTTTCTATGTAAAAATTTGCATTTCAGAAACATATAAACACTCCTGAAATATGTAAATTGGTCATTATTTACAGAAGAAATTAATAAATTTGTTCACAAAGAAAAATTAAGTCACAAATAAGAAAGCTGCCGACTTGTGCAAATTGGGTGCTTTTATATTTCTGTGTTCATTTGTGCGGTGTTTTTTACTAATGCAAAGTGAATGCCTCGTGTACTGCGAATTTTCTTCTGTTTCGTCGACAGTCTGCAGATGATTTGGCTTAATTGAGCGAGTGTTGTTGTGGCGCAGGCACCAAGTCGGCGGAGTACAACGACTACTACGGCGACAGCGGCGCGCAGCGGGGCACCCCGCCCATCGGCGCACGCCACGTGTGGGGCAGCCGCGCTGGCCGGGCCATCGCCCACGCCTTGGGCCCGCGCCGCCTGCTCGACCAGCCGGCCATGGACGCCACGCGCGGCGCCGCCGCCGTCTCCTGCACGCGTAAGTGCGCCGGACATCGCGCTACTCACGCCGCACACCGCGCGCTACACGCCGCACATCGCATACCGCGTAGTGCACATCGCACATGGCACACCGCACAAGACGAACACCTCACATCGCACGCCGCACGCCCCATATCGCACGATACACGCCACACATCGCATACCGCGTAGTGCACATCGCACATGGGACACCGCACCGTGCACTGAAAACCGCCACAAACAACTAGACGAACGCCGCACATCGCACGCCGCACATCGCACGCCTCACATCGCACGCTGCACATCGCACGATACACGCCACACATCGCATACCGCGTAGGGCACAGCGCACATGGGACACCGCACCGTGCAACGGAAACCGCCACATACAACACGACGAACACCGCACATCGCACGCCGCACACCGCGCGCAACACGCCACACATCGCATACCGCGTAGTGCACATCGCACATAGGGGACACCGCACCTTGTCCCGAAAACCGCACGCCACATACCACATAATACACACCGCACATTGCACGCCGCACGCCGCACACCGCACGCCACATGCTATACGTCACCTATCGCGTAGTGTACACCGCACATGGGACTCCACACCGTGCACCTAAAACCGCACTCCAAATATTACATGACGCACACCACACATTGCACGCCGTACATCGCACTTTTCATATCGTACGCCGCATATCACACCCCACTCATCATATACCGCACACCAAACGCCGCACACTGCACGCCGCCCACTGCTCATCGCACACTGCTCATCGCACTTTGGACATAAAACACAGAACATCGCGCGCCGTACACCTCACATCGAACGCCACACACCACACGACAAGGGGGAGACTGACCATGCATTGGAGCATTCATGGGCGCAACAACTACATCGATAATTATTATATAAATGTAGAGAAAGTTTCATGTCAGGAACTGGCAGTATTCTCCTCGCTCGAACGTGAGAACCGACGAGGACCTACACATATATTGTGGGTGTGTCTACTCCAGGTATCTCTCCCAGCGAGTCACTGCTCCGGCTGAGACCAGCTCTAGGTTTCCGAATGATCTGATGATTGTATAGTGTTTGTAAGTGTGTGTGTGTGTGTAAGGCGAGAGGACAGGTAAATGTTGACGAAGGAATGTTCGCATGCGGTCCGTGACACGTTTGTTAATGTCCTGTTTCTCATGTTCGTGACACGTTTGTTTGTGTGCTGCTCCGGCCTCGTGTTGATCGGAGAAACCAGACAAAACTAACAATCAGAGCACCCGTACCTTACATGTCGGGAGACCAGCACTTACAGCTTGTCGCGACTGGGGCGGTGGCTCAATGGAGGAGGTAACTGGAGGGGGATATTCCGCAATGCGACCTGTGAGTCGGCGCCGGATTCCACTTTTCTGTGGAGGAGAAATATTACCACCTGCTGTGATATTATATGCTCAAATCGTACGGGACTATGTACCTGAATAGAATACGGTCTCGGAATAAAATTCGCTGTATGACCGACGAACTGACGTTTCCTCCAAATCTGCATTTTGACTGCACTACATAGACGAGAATATAAAATAATATTTAATTGGCATGAAAAATCCACATTTTTCCACTCAAGAACTTTTAGGACGTGTCTTTTGTTCAAAATCCGGCAATATTCTTTGCTGTATTACATAACTTCCTCTCTAGAAAGCATAGGAGAATGTGAAAAATCAAATTTGTTCGAAATTTGTCACACGTAGGTCATTTAATTCATGCTTCATTGTTCAATATTGTCGAGTAATGAACGTTGGAATTGCGTAAAACTGAGGAAACCACATAAAAGATAGCACTATGGTGTCAACGACTTTCAATCTTGACTTGTCTATTCCACAAAAAAAGAAATTTAAATGCATTATCTTTTCAACCTTGAGTTCTATGTGTGCAGTTTGCAAGGAACGGTTCGAGGACTTCGTATCACTACTCTTATGTACATTGGTTAGAGTACTTACATTCTAGCAAATTGAAAAAAGTTTCGAGCGTAATAAGGTATAATTTCTGAACCAATGGACGAGTGGTAAATTAGGGAGCAGATTGTGGAAAGAAAAATAAGCATTTAAGAATAATATCTATTGTACTTTTATCAAAGTTTTTTAGCCTGCTGGATTTTCCAATGGTGTTGAAAACTTCTAAAATCCTCCGAAGTAGCAGCGCTACCGATTTAACTAGAATTACCCTGCAAAATTTTTACTTCCATCAATGTATTGCCAACAAGGTTGTGAACTGTCTGTAATAAACGCTGAATTACATGTGACTGAGTTTGTGAGGCGGGTTTGGAGCCGTTTTTAAGAAACTGTCCTTTAAGCGCTACTGTAATTTGAAATTTGAAACTCCTCTTCACATTTGAAAATATTTGAGTTTTTGAAAGACTTGATTAGAAGTCATTTGAATCACTTTAACTCACAAATACAATAGTCTCTACAAATTGTTGGAAATGTACATATTAACGGTGTGAGAGATCTTTCCAAAAGTTACATTTGTGTACTTTGTGAAAAAACAAAAAGTACGCCCAAATGAACTTCATGTCATATTAAACAGTACAATTAGCACTCTCCGTTCGGAAGTATGAAGAAAAAATTTGGAGCCATTTTGGAGAAAATTGCGTTTAAGGGTTTATGAAAATGCGGAATATTGAGCTAATTTTCATAGAAGTTACATTCATAATTTTATCTTAAAACTGAAATCACTGAGTAACTAAATAATTGAAAAGGTTTCTGGATTTGCTTTCAGAAATTACAAATAAAAATTAATTGAAATTTTAAAAAAAAATACCTTTGTCCATAAAGTGATATTTTGATATACTGGAACAGTTGCGAGAGCTTCATAGCCGCCATTGGCTGTCTGTGTTGTTGTGAAATAGATCAGCCCCTGTCCGTAGTTATTAGCCCCGAAAATTTGATTGATTTGAATATAACAACCATAGTCCAGAGTATTTTTTGGTCAAAGATCCATAGTCCTTTAAATGTAAGTTTTCTTCGTGATTATTTCTCAAGCAAAGCTTATCTCAACCTACAAAGGACGATAATGTTTGTTTTGTCCATGTGGTTATTCTACATAACTAGTATTTTTGTTATGGAAGTATAGTGATAGTGTATAACCTGTTCGTGTGACATATACGTCATTTATGACCTAGCAGCGAAGAAAACGTTTCTTTGTCAGTTGTAGAAAGAACAGTGGAAGGGACGGAAATCAAAGGAAGAGAGGAAAGATAATGTAGTGAGAGCAAAGACGATTAAAAAGGAAGCACATTTGAATCACAAAGGAATATCCAGAAGTTGTCTAAATATTTTCAGTAATTTGCTAACAGATATTTGTATCTAAATTTAGCTTCCGTTGCAGATGTTAATGTGGAAAACCAAAACACTGATGATGATGATGATGATAGCAGCAGTGGCGCAGAACAATAATTGGGCAATAACATTCCAGATTGATTAAGTGCAGTAACTTCTTGCATTATTTATTCAAATATTGTAATATTACTGCGCCAAATATATACATTTGGTATACAAATTTCGCAATTTGTTCAAAAAAACTTGTCTATACACCTCACATTATCGAATAATTTTTACAATACAGTTCAAGCTTGAACTCAAACGTTCATCTGTATTTACAGTAGCTTGAGAAAGTTCACAATAATTTTCATGCTTCAAATGTCCACCAATTTCGTCATGGAACGTTTTATCGCTCTCCTGGAAAATTATGGGTTTTTGACGGTGTTTTTTTTTGAATTCTTCAATTACATTTCATGTATTGCTTAATATACACTGACCAGCCAAACATTATGGTCTTTGCCCACCTTTACAATGAACGTCCCCAGTTGACGTTGGAGGAACTTGACGCAGTAAGAAAAGTTTATTAGTGGACGATTGAGAAATCATTTGGCCGTCAACATGGGCCGAATGGGACAATGGGAAAGTCTATTGACACAGGTGTCATTTATAAAGTGTAGGTTGGGATGGGTTGGAATTTGAGAGCGAGCATCGCGGAGAAGGCGAACATGGATTGCTGATCGCGTGCTACTGTTGCAAGTATTTATTAAAAGCAGTAAAACCTCGAGTAGGTGGCATGATGTTGAACGTACTCCCATCGTCAAGGAATGTGACCGTCAAAGATCTGTTACTTCTGTAAAGCAGAATAGACAGATCTGATCCACAACTAAGAGCAGAGAACAATTCAGAATGCTGTTACAAGGGTTTCGGAGCCCACCGAACAGCTTACGTCATTGAACGCTCCGCAACAGATGCTCTCTTCGTGTTGCACAACGACATCGTTCAATATCATTGCAGTGAGCACAATATCATTTCGTTGGTCCGCGGATCAATAGAGACGAATCTCGTGGTTGGATGAATCACGTTTCGGGTTCCACCAGTTCGATGGTCATATCCGGAGAAAATATTCTTCCGGGCGAACGGCTTAACACATGCTCCCCTCTACGGTCACATACCCGGCAGTGCAGTGTTATGCCACGGAGAACATCCATCTCTTGGACCCGTGGTTGCGATCAAAGGCATCATGAAATCTGTGGGCTTCGTAAAAATTAATGGCCTGCCTCCCTTCGTACTTGTTATCTTCTCCGACAGCGGTAGTATCTCGCAGCAGGATAACTGTCCATGTCACATCCGTTAAGCTTCGGAAGTCGAAACTCTCAATTAGGGTTAGGAAAGGTTCAAATAATAAAAGTCCTAAATGATGAAAGAGTAACTCCTTTCCTAAACAAATATAGAGAGCAAACTACTGCGCTGGGGTCCGTCTTTGGCTCACCATTAATATGTTGCTGTTAAGGGAAATGCATGATTCGTACGTGCTTACGTAATCTTACTAAGGGTTTGTTGCATCCATTTTACCCAGTATCGCTGTAGTACTGCGTTCAAGAGGTGGATAACGTGGCTATTAAAAAGACTAATGATTTGGCTCATTAGCATAATACATTGAAACGATAAATTGCAGCTGTTCCAGATACGATCTGTACCGTACTCACTCAAATACGATTCCTGAACAGTTTTGGTAGTCTAGAAAACATATTTACTACAGCGATACGTCATTTGTGAGTTTTATTATAAGTTCACTGAATAATCCGGATTTGTGTTTTTTTCATAAGTTTACCTTCTCAGCGTATTTGTGATATTTTGGGTGTTAATTCGTATTTTTTTGTTAAATAAAAAAAACTGAAGAATGAAAGGTACTAAAGTAAATATAGAATTATTTTATTGTCATTTTATTTAAATTGTCATATATGCTATCAACGGTTTGAAAATTGATATCAACAAGCGATAAATATATTCTAGATTTTTTTAAATTGTTTCATTCTCCAGTGTATGTTTGTTATTTTATTTTGAGTTGTTTTGTATCAAGAGTATGATGAGTTATTGTTTGCAATATAGCTACGCTATAGCTCTTGATGAGTGGATTCTCTAATAACTTTCTAATATTTCAGGTGCAGGTAGTAATTGTGATATAACGAGGCCAGAACAGTTCTGCCTGTTTCACATTCTTAATGACCCCTGTGAAGAGAGAAACGTGGCCGATCAACACCCTGATGTGGTGCGAGACCTTCTGGTACGTAAAGAAAAATGAATATTGAAACTTAATTACACATGTTATTCACAGATATAATTAGAAATGTAATGAAAGGATTAGTCTTTGTAGAAGATACATTTATTATTAAATTATAAAATTATTTGAAATATTATTGATGGGTAAAATAGTATATACTATTTTAATTATTATCACAAAAACATTATATTAATGTAATAGTTTTAGTGATAATCATATTTTTAAAGCTCTAATGTTCAATGTTTCACTCTTTGCAATGTTTATTTCCATTCCTAGTTACATAAAATCATTTTCACTAGTATAAATGTCTCTGCATATCTCATATTTAAGGGCGCTAAGTACGTAACTAACGAGCTACAATATTTATTACAACAGTCGTGCTGGCGAATGTAAAAATAAATTAGTGATGCAACTACATCACATATTTTCTCGCAAACTTTTACAATGCATTTGCATTTCTTGCTTTTGCAACTTTTGCAAAAATCATCAGAGTGTTCAAAGAAAATGAAACATGCGCCATTATTGTAAATTCAACTTGTTCTATCCCTGAAAACAAATTACAACAAATTTTGTGGTTTTTGAGATTTTTTTATAAATTGCTGCATCTGTGAGCAGAAAAAACGCAAAAATATGCGTTTCTTTCAAAACGTAGTACATAACGTTCTTTAAAGATCGGATTTTTTAGAAAAGAGTTCATTTAAGACTTAAATGTTTCATTTTCAATCAAAAGTTTTAAAAAATTCCAAATTTCTCAACAAAATTGGAAATATTCCATTTTTTCTTACATCTACAAAATTGAAGATTGATTTTTCTAATTTTTGCGTATCTTTGCGTGATATATAGGGAAATTAGTTTTTTAACATTTTTTTAAAACTGCTTTAAAACATTTCTTTAAATTTTCTCCTTATATTCTCCTTATATTTCTCCCTATAAAAATTGGCGCTAGTACCATTTCCGGCAAATTATTTTTTCGAACATTGCAAAAAATTATATTGCAATAAAAATCCTTAATCTGGAAATTTTTCGTTTAAATAAAATAAGTTCAAAATATTAATTCATTAAAAAAGTCGTCCTTTTTAAAGCGAGGAGTTTTGGAACAATCTGCTTGAAATTACAATAATTTACTCATAAATCGCTCACATTTTTCTTTAAATTGTTTCCATGTTTAGAACAATGGACTCTTAAAAGAATGGTACAGGTCTCATTTTCGTTGCATTTATGAATCTTCGGTAATTGTCAATTTAGAAATAATGAAAGTTTATTAAGACATACTGATACAAATTAGATTTTAAAATGAAATCTTATAGATTTCTGTATTCCATGATAATCAGCGTGAACAGACCAGTTTATACATATCCATATTACCTTACGCTACATAATAACTTTTGAGAAATGTAGAGTTTGTATCACGCACACTGTGTCTTAAAATTTCGTCAACACCGCGAGGACACGCGTATAAGAGGCCCTTCTTTTGTTTCGTTGTCCCTTCGTGGTGAAAAATTTTGCAATTCCAAGTCCGGGGAAGGAATGCCTTCTCCCTTAACAAGGGGAGGAATAGGGGATAGCAAGATCTGCTACGAAGACGAATTGTGGGAAATTTAATTTAATAAAGTTATACACGTTGCATATGCACCTGATTTGGTAGGCAACCGGTCATGCATTGCTGTTTGAGATGTGACGTTCTGGCCCACCGAGATTTCTTGTTGGTACCCGCCAAACACCAGTGAATAATAATTTCTCTACCAACCAAGCCACACGTTTAACCTACTGATATGAAATTTCCCACCATTTGTTTATTGACAAAATCGAATCATCTTCCACGATCTCCAGGCGCTACAATTATGTAACATTCACTCTGAGTTATACATGAAATCAATATTTGTAATTATTTGCTCGAAGTATGTGATATAAGCAACAACGACAATCCGATGAGACATTGTTTTCATATTATTAATGTGTATTCACTTTCATAACATGAAATATATTATATATCACACACACAGATATATAATCATAATTATTACTATTCTACATTTGCTTGAATAATTATTAAAGGCATTGACATGGGTTGAATGATTAATAAAAGACATTTAAACATGGTTGAATGATTAATAAAGGAACTAACAAATCGTAATTAGCAACATTTGAAAAATAGACGTTTTCGCTCTCGTGTAATAGAAAACTTAATCGAGTATGCTTCGGTGTACGAAAATCAGAGTTCATTTTACAGTTTTGCTAACAAAATAACAACCCCGTGCTTTAGATCTAGACCTAACACAACCACAACTACCAAGTCGACAAAACGCGCGCATTTCTGTGTTCAGGAGCGCATCCAGGCACACGCAGCTAACCTGGAGCCGCAGACAGACGGCAACATGGACTTGGCGAACGCCGACCCGCAGCGCTGGGGCCGCACCTGGACGCCCTGGGTGACGTGTGAGCGCTCTCCGCAGATCTCCTGGTGCAACACGTCGCCCGACGGAGTCACGAGCTAGGACCACACGCTGCCCACTGGGCACAGTCACGATTCTAGCTGGACGAACTACAACTTTGGAGTTGAAGCGACTGACTCAAATGGGACGATGTGTCACCAAAAGTCTGTTTTGTTATTAGATCTCACGATTTGTTCTATAAATGAACGCAAGTCAAAATTTCATAACAAAATTCAATATTAAAAATTGGAATTATTGCTTACAGTATTTCCATTTTATTGTAGTAGAGTTTTGGAATTTCTCACATACCCCAATTCATCGAAATTTCTGTCGTTTGAAAAGGTTTATTGATAATGTGTTTTTATTTTGTATGTCAGTCAGTCTCAGAAGAGGAAATACATATCTCAAACCATTACAAATAATAAAATCGAAAACGGCAAAAGTAGGCAACTAACAAAAAGCTGCTTTCCCTACGCATAATAGGTTTCTAATGTTACATGTAATGATTGATAGTGAATATTGATAGAATGGTTGAATTGTAAATTGTTTACATTGTTTCACTGAACGAAAAATAAGGTTTGTCCAGCTGGAATCGAAAGCAAGTTCATAGTATACTTCGTGATCTTAACAACTACCCTTCGCTACTGGTGAAGATAATATAATTTTATTACGACCGGAGGCCAGGTTCCTTACTTCATAAGTCAAATCGATCTTTATTGTTATCTTTTATCGCATCTAAAGAGCACCAAGAGTTTAGGTATAATAGTTTGTCGACAGGCGAAGAAAAGATCAAGACAATTAAACTCTCATGCGTTCATGAGAATTAAATTTCTATACTTTTTTCTGCAATACAAATATGCCTTTGTTTGTTCTTGCGGTTATAATTTTCTTCGTATTATATGAATTTTAAGCGATGTACAATGTTCGTGTTTTGAAATATACTGGTTAAATGTTTGGCCTTCAAGAAAGAAATGTGAAACTTGAAATGGCGTTCTAAAGGGATACGACAAAATCACACATTACAATATCAGTTATTTTTTATTATTGTGTGAATGATTGTGGTAAAGTATTAGGCTGTGATATCACATAAAGAGTTTGTTTGTACAACTCTCATTTTAATAATGAATTTTCTAAAAAAGCTACTACTTGTCTTCGTGCTTTACTAATTAAAAGAACACGAAAAATATTAATTGTTTGCCACTTAGAATTGATCAATTGTACAAGGGAATACAAATCTTCCCTTTCCCTCAAAGGTGGGAATAAATATTTTCTCATCTTTGTGTCAGATATGATAATACGGTCTTCAGTTAAACCCAGATCACTACGCATCTTAACTAGTCAAATGTCCTGTGAGCATGCAGTCAAACGCCTCCCTCCAGGAACCAATACTTCTCAAAACAAGTACGGTTGTTTCACTCGGCCGTAATGCAGTATACCTGTGCCTCTCTGATCTCTCTAGCACAATCAATTTTATTAGACCTTTGTTTTATCTATTTAGGCCTTTCCTGTATTCTAATAGAAGGAATTCAACGGACATCATAATTCTTTTAGAGAATCAGAATATTCGTTCTAATCCTTTTTAAAACGAATGATGTGTTCAAACAATCATCTTTATAAGGAAATAGTACTTTATGTTCCATGTAATGATACAAACACTTTTTCTTACTGGGCATTTGGGGTACTAAATATTTACAAGATTAATATAAATGAAGTAAATGTATCTGTATGTGATGTGTTACTGAAGAGACTAAAATGTCTCTGTCTTCGAATTGTGAGCAGGATGTGAATTATATGTATACGCGTTGTGCCATTTGTTCATATTTTTCATTAAATTTTTACATATGACGGAAAAGCAGAGCACTTTTGATTAACAAGATGTAGTTTAATAACTCCGTAAAATTTGATAAAAGGGAATGTAAATTATCTGAACCTAATTATCTCGCTGTCATTCAAGTATCAAACAACTTGGCAGCATCAACAAAAAATGTGCAAGAACCTAATATTCGAAACGTGTTGAGACTGTAAGTTAATGTCAATATTTATATGTAATGTACATATGTATCTAATTTGTAATGTATATTCTAAACTTAAATACTGGACATAGATCAATGAAACTCTTCTATATTCTGTATATTTTCTATTATATTTTATGAATGTGAAATGTCTAGTGAACTATTCTTGTACCAAAGAACTCATATGGAGAGTCCTGAATAAATAATACAATTGATAGAAATATCCAGATAATATTGTCATTATTCTTTTCTTTACAATATACGGTGTAAGTTTACGTCCTAACATAAAAGTCTGAAAATTCTCGTTTACCTTCTTCCATGATATACTTTTTGTTCAATATTTTATGTCGTTTGTTGGAAGCACAATATTCTCGTCTTTTAGCTCCCTCACGAAAATGTGTAATAACAACAAAGAAAATCGTTGAAAATTGTTGCCATCCGAATAGTAATACATTACGGATGGGTTCAGCCTTATCCCATATGTGAGGTACAGACTGAATTTGCCAAAATTCACTCTTCGTCGTTTAGTTTTGTAAATAATTAACGTTAAACTGTGGACTATGCGTTTGTGCTACGGCATGCGAGCGGCTTCACCTCTAGCAAGGGGGCTCGCCACTTCTCTGGAAAACTCCATTGCTAATACTATTCGAGTAGCCCCAGAAGCAAGAGGAAGGCAAATAAGGCGCGATGTCAAGGCATCACAGTCCATCGTCTGGCAAACAATTAATGCAGAGAGATTATGACTTTTCCATTTCCAGCGGTTGCACCGTAGAGACTTATGACGTCGTTTTCAGTTCTCTAGGAATGTTTTGCGCAAATGCCAAGAAAATTAGGAGTTTCATTCTCCGGTCAAATGAAGCATGTTTATAGGAACTTACAAAATTAATGTGCACAATGAATGTTATAAGTCAGGGTCACCCAACGCTTTTGAACCTGGGGGTAAACGAAAGAGCGTGTGTGTGCTACCGAAGTCAGTGACCCTGGTGACCTTCTTCGGAACGTTAAAGAGGTGGAGGCACAAATAAAGTTAGTACAATTATACTTCTGTGTTCATGGAAACCGTTCGGAACAGACGCTTCCCTTGCCTTCACACAGGAGACCATTTTGAACATTTGTAGTGCTCCTGTTAGACGAGGTGAAAGTGCGAAGTTTTGGCTGTATACCCAAATATGATAAACTATTCTAAATAAAACCTAAATTATAGTTTTCTCTCTCTCCTCTCGTAATCGTTCGCTAAGTAGGCAATATTAGCAACAGGGAACAATTTTCATGTAGTATTTGGGCTATCTTTCTTTCTCAAATTGACCAATGACTACTTTTTTTTCAAAATTTGAATAGAGTTTACACTGTTTTCTTCTGCAGTCATAAATAACTTGAAATACTCTTATTACCGAGCCCTGTATGAACAACGAGGGGTGTATAGCGAGGTCGAATTCAGTCGCTGTCTGGAGGAGAATTCTAGCAGCCGGGTATTCTCCATATGCCGGAGCAGTACCCTGACAAACGGGCCACGCACCGCGCACGATATTTCTTTCTTCTTCCTTGTCCTATCCGCATCCCTTACCTACACTAACATGCACTACATTACCTCACATGCTGGGAGACTGGTTGGGAGCTTAGAGCTTGTCCCGTCTGGGGCGCCGCCACGCTGATGGGAGATACCTGGATGGGGATCCCACATGCCGACTGTAGGTCGGCGCCGGATCTCACCATCCAGCGAGGGGTGATCACTGCCACCTCCCGAGGAAGACTTGCACTATACCTACGGAACTAATGACCTTAGCATTTGACCCGCGCAGAATCATTAATCAATCAATCAAAATTTTTGTTGTATTTCTTTGCTATGTTTCTTTAAAACCATTCCCCCTTGTAGTGGACTCACCCATTCCGGCTTCCTTAATCCTCCCATTCTGCAGCCACTCTGCCCTTGCCCTCTGCAGCCACATACGATAGATACATTAATAATATGTATATTCAGGAATCATTTGAGAACATGACAAACAGAATAAACAGAAATTTAGTTTTAGATGTAAGACAATACAGTGGTTTTAAACAGTAGTTTATAATGGAAAAGACTCATCGGTTTGTGTCTATGGGGGATCGAAAAAATATCGGTAACTTTCTTTTTAACCGTTTGCGACGAGGATTTTGCTTACCTTTGTGAAAGTGAATAGCTCAAGAGATATTTAATATTTTGGACTAGAATTTTACGGATAAGAGGGAGAAATGGACGGAGGTTGGTGTAATGCCAAGTTCATTATGTAACTGCGCATTCGGAATGTTCCAGAGAGCTTTTGTGATGGTGCGTAGGAATCAATTATGGACAATTTAGATTTTGTTGATGTTTGTTTTGGCTGCGGCAGTCCAGACAGGGGAAGTATAGGAAAGCATGGGTCGTATCATTTCTTTATAGAGGTGAATAGCAACACTTAGTTGTAGGGGGATGATGTTTTGAGAATCGGATATAATTGATGGACTCTAGTAGTCGCTAGCGCTATTCGGTGTTTTATATTTTGCCGCCATGTAAGTCTTTTATCGAAAACAACTCCTAGATATTTGATAGTTGTGTTGGGAGGGAGCCAGGTGATGTTTTGGGATTGTTATGTAAGATTTGGAGGGACATCTGGTCTGCTAAGGGTAAATATTGTTGCCTGGCTTTTATTAGGATTTATTTCAATGTGCCATTTTTGGCCCAGTTGAAAAATAGTGTGAGGTGATGCTGCTGATCATTCACGGCAGATTGAAAATTGCAATTGGAGGAGTAAAGTACTGTATCATCAGCAAATAGAGCTATTGCAGTATTTTGGGAGATTGGTATATCCGAAGTGTACACATTAAATAATGTGGGGGAGAGGGTGGATCCTTGAGGTACTCCTGCTTTGATGGTGAAAGGTGTGTAGAGATCCCCGGGGAGGTGCACAGAATGTGTTCGGTTGGAAAGAAAACTTTCAACGACGCGTGAAAGATAAATTGGAGTATCAACATTGCGGTGTTTGAAAATTTGAGACGGGTAAGAAGTAAAGTTTGATGCAAAATAATTACCCAACATATCGCATTTACCGGAAGGAGAAGATACTACTCCAGTTGGAGTAACAAGGCTGGGTAGGTTGATAGGTTTGTGCAAAAGACGTTATATTCCACAGTGTACACAGTGTATTCCATAGTGTATGATCAGATGTGATTGCTTTTTGAGTTTGAAGATGAATCGTTTGCGTGTGAAAGGACGCCACAAGTTGTTTCACAATTTTAGTTAGGAGGTTTAAATAAGATTTTAAGAGAGGAGATCGATGTCTCAACCAGTGATTACAAATATATCGTTTATACTCGATTAGTTTCTTCACTACAGGTGGTATAGCAGGAAGCGAAGTGCGTTGATTGGCTGTGGGGGCCGTTAAGTCGAGGACATCTAATATAGTATGAGTAAGGGAGTCAACGCCGCTGTCGATTTCCTGCGTAGCATGGAGTAATGGCAATGAAGGTAGGAGATGTGTAACTAGCATCTGATAATATGGCCAGTTGACATTACGTAAATGATAAAGCTGAGCGGGGCGAATTTCTTCTGGGGTTGTGTCGAGTGAGAAAACTGCGGGGCGATGTTCGGATTGCAGGGCGATATGAGTCTCGACTCGAATGATACAACTAAAACTGTTAGAAATGCCGAAATCTAGTATATCAGCTTGCACTGGCGCGCGGTAGGGATAGAAGCTGGGTGTATCAGGGGTATGTACAGCCAGATTTAATCTTTGTATGCCAACTAGCAACAGATTACTAGCAGGTGAGTTTAGTCTACTTCACCAAGCAACGTGTTTAGCATTCCAATCGCCGATCGCTAATGTTGGTTGACGGGAGAAAAATAAGGTATCAATATTGTATGGAATATTAGCGGGCTTGTAGATTGAAGTGATTATTAGGATAGATTGACATTTCTGCTGAATAGTCAGGCTAATATTTTCGAAAGTATTATTTATATTTCAAGGTAGGTAGCTGATGATGTGTGAAGGAATGTTTTACAAATATGGTGACCCCACCGCTACACCGTTTCCGCGGTCGGTCGTAGCGATATAAGATATAACTGGGAATATAAATTTTCATCGAAGGACAAAGATGGGTTTCTTGAATGCAATCTACTTGTATTTTATTATTATGCAAAAAGTGGGCCAGCATATGAATATTAGGTTTAACACCGTTTGCATTCCATGAAATAAGACGGAGTGAAGAATGAGTGGCACTACTTATAGGCATGTTTTATGGATAATATAATTTTATTGATTGAAGGA